TGCTGAAAAAAAGCAAGCATCTGTAGCAGGCAGATGGTTTTCACTGTAAGGTTACCAAACAAGTCCATGTCTATGTGCTCAGTATTGCAGTTTCCTCCATTGTTCAGTGTAAGATGTATTTATTAAGTAGACAATGTTTAATTCTGATGAAGACAATACTTGAATGGATTATTATTATTTTTTTCCGTAGTTTTCACAAATGTTTCAGTAGAAAAGTGGGATTTGGAAGCGTGTTGCATTTTAGGTCCTGAAGGCAGTGGATAAGAAATACCTCTCCTACATGTTTTTCAGGCCAAGAAATTAAGCTATTTCAAGTACCTTTCTGGCATTTTTCTTTCCTGTGGTTGACTCATCTTTTTTTTTTTTTACATCCTTTGTCCCCTTTTCTTCACACTGTCAACACCTGTCTGCTTGTTTTCCTTTTTCTAGCTTCTGCTGAGATGTCTTCCCTCTCTGTGTTTCTTTGCTATGATGCTCTGCCCCTGTTCTCAGTTTCAAGCAGGGTGTGATAACTGTTATATCATATGGTGAAACAAGAATCTGTGATACACTTCAATACATCTGTAATGCACTAGTACAGCCTTGGAAAAAGAAATACTTGTGACAATAAGAGTGGCTTCTATAGCCTTTTAGTCCAATAAAATTTACACTGATTTAGAACGAGTGTTTCAAATGGTGTCTTGCTTTCTAGCTCTATCATAAACCACCACAAAAATAAAAAGCTTATCAAGGTATTCTGGTACCAAGGGCTGCCACTGTTCAACAATGCAGTAGCAAGGCTAGATTTTCCTTTTTTTAGTGTAAGGTCAGCTGTTCCAATACATTTATTAGAAATAAGATATCCTGCTTCTGCAACATAGAGGCCGAAAGATTCTGGTGGTTGCTTTATGAATGAAAAGCATCTTTCTGATTAGAACTTTGCGTAAACCTGAAGAATTTGCTTTGCTGTGTGTCAAAGTGTGGGTTTGTTTTGCTGGAAGAAATTGCAATTTATCTCAGATTTTTCAGGTGATTTAAAAAGAGAAAAAAGAAGACAGCAAGAGTATTTGGTTAACTATTGAAGTTGATATGGGGAGAGATGCACTGTCGGTTTTCACTTTTCATTTCACTGTTATTTTCAGTGCATTTAAAATACAAGGAGTCAATGCCCTGTATTGTTTTGATGTTACTTGAGTAATATAAATCTCAGAGTGTGTTTATTGGGGAGCAGAGGAGATGGAAGAGAAAGCAGCTTTGTGAAAGCACTCCAGCAAATGTGTCTTCTGTACTGCAACTGTCAGGTCTTTTTATAAATATGGGACTGTGTCAGAGAAATTTAAATTAAAGAAACACCAATCACAAACAAATTATTCTGTGAAGACATTGTTCATTTATAGAGTCTAATAACTTTTGAAATGCTGTGACAGGTGAGAAGCTTATTTAAGCTTGTATGTGTCATAGTTGAAGGACACAAAATGGTAATAGTGAATAAATGGCTAGGTATGAGGAAGGTCGCTATTGCCAGGAATGCTGGCCTCATCCAGGTTAATAGAAACAGGAGAAAGAAAGGAGACAATGTTGGATGTCTCTGAGGAAAAACAGTCAGAAGCAGCTTGTCCTGGGGTGACATTGGAACTTGGCCACCTAAAATATTGTTAAATCACCACAGCTTCCATCATTGTGGTGTTCTTTCCAAAGTATGTGTGAAGTTAAAGAGCTGCTTTGTTTGATGAAAGCTATTTCTTTTTCTATTAGAAATTAATTTAGACTTTTTGTTTCTTTAATGGTTGCATGCTACTTTCCAAAGTTGTCTGGTGATCAGAGTAAGGTCAGTGAAATTGGTGAATATAAGATTATACCCCTCTGCTCAATGTTTTAAAATCAGTAATCAAATGTACTTTTGCGGGCACTGTGCCAGAGGCACTCATCATTTGATGTGAGTTGGTGAATATTCGCCGTTGGGCTGCCAAGGTCACTCAGACCTTGGTGCTGACAGGTGGTGGGACTCTGGTGTTGTCTCACTAGATCACTTGCCAGTGCTTTGGTGACGGGGCCAAGGAGCAGAGCATCTCCAGTTTGTGCCTTCAGAGAGCTACAAAGTGAAATGAAGAGAGCTTTCTCCTTTAAAAATTATTCTACTTTGTAACTGCAAGCTAAGAACATTGCTGAGCTCCAGAATACCCCAAAGGCTGTTGACAGATGCAGAGAACTGGGGTGCCAATTTCCCTCAGTTAGTTTTCATCAGGGTGTTGCTATTAAGTAATAGGCTCAGTTCCTGGGAAGACACGAGTCCCTGTAGTGAGGGTTGGGAAGTGACTGTTTGAAACAAACCCCAGTTATGGGGTAGATGAGGCTAACCTTGGAGTGCGCTCTTTGAAATGAGTGTTCCACTGAAATTGCTGGAACTAAGGAGCGATGTGAACAAGAATTAGTGTCGTTCTTTCAATAGTTTCATTATATTATACAGCTTGAACTGTCAACGTGGAAATAATTGGTTTATTCTACATTTTAAAAGAGATATGGATTTAATACCAAAACTGTTTTGTGGTTTTTTTTCTTTTGCAGGCATCAACTTATCACCATATTCAGGAAATAATGGTACAGTTATTACGCACAGTGAACAGAACTGTTATTACAATGGGAAGAGATGATCCTTTAATTGTGAGTAATATTTTTAATGCTTTGAAGGTAATTTTCTAGTTATCCTGAAAAAACGCAGTTACAGTATTTGTGGACTCCTTGTTTGTGGGATTTTTTAGATTTCAAGTAAAAGGCCTAAAACTTTACTCTTTTTTCATTCAACTGGGCCACTCTAGTGTCTTTAGAATTTAGTTAAATACTGTGGGATGTTGTTTTTTTTAAAGTATGCACAACACTAAATCTGAAGTTAATTGTTGTTTGCAAAAAGAAGAATGCTTTACAAACCTGCATAAAGGGCAGACTTTAACACATTGAAAATAGTGTTTCTACTAATTCAAAATCAGTGTCCAAGTAAAAAAGACAGCTTATTTAAAAAAACAACAACACTGGTGGATGCTCTGTTTCTCCGAATTTTTCCCACATTCTTTGCTTTTTGGTGGATTAGAGTTGCTATGGAACAGCCACCATTCCTGGCTCTGCTTCTGGAGGAGGAAGATGATGCCTGATGTGCAAAGGGAAAGTATCTGGGGATGCACTGGCAGAGAGCACTCACCTGCGATTTCTGTGGAGATTCTGTGGTGTGAGAGTTATATTCAGGATTCAGATATAAGCACTTATCTCATGAGTAGTCCTCTTGATTTAAGCTATTTGTGAGGATGCAAGCCAATTGTGTTC